TGAATAAAAGAGAACCCAAAATCTCTGTAAATGTTCATTAAAACTAATAAAATTTAATAATAATTTTAAAAAGTTAATGCCTTTTTTTTCTCAATTGGTATCATTTTTTTTTAAAATATGATTTGTATTCTGCTTTTCTTCTGAAATGTATTTTAAAACTCTTGCTGATTAAAATATTAACTACTTAAAAATTCACAAAGGAATATAATAAAGTAATGTAGAGATAAAATTACAAATAAAATTCAGTATTTGAAGGTCAAAGGGGAGAAAAAAACTACACAGTACAGATTTTGGCAATAAACAACTTTAAGCACCTCATATATAATTTTTTTTTCTTCATAAGGCTAAGGATAAAAAAGTTAATTATAAATTCTTTTTATCTTAACAAGTTTTACACTAATCTAATAAACATTAAAAATTACAACAACATACAAGGTAAACATATTCAATTTCAACTTTTAATCTAACCTACATTGTTTTCATTTTAATGGTGCAGGAGGAATAACTGTGCTTGTAACTAATAAAATTAATTTTTATGTGTGATAGATGGAATAAGTATTAAGAGTTAGAGGCTGAACATGGGTTATGGGATTAACGGTTCCTTAATTATCTATCTTCAGAAGATACAAAATCTGATGTTTATTTAATGGGTATATTTTTCCTCTAGTTTATAGGAATAAAAGGGTAAACTAAAATTATGTTAAAGTAAGTAACATTTTCGCTAAAAGGAGTAAAAATAGTCTATGAATAACACAATTTTTATTAACATAAATAATTTCACAAATAATTCAGGAAAAACTATATACAACCTATTCTTTTTTTTTAATACAACTTATTCTTATTTTCATTTTTAAAGATGAGGAAAGATGCGACCAATTTGCCTTTGGCATTTTAAGTGATGCTTATTTTAGCCACTTCAAATTTTACTTTTCAAACCTGACAAGCTTTGTACAATTTACAAGAAAATGTAGAAGTTAAAAAAAAAAAAAGAAAAGGTAGAAGTCAAACTATTGAAAAATGCCATAACAGACGCATTATTTATTAAAGAGATTCTCCCTGACTTAAAATTACTTGCATACTATGTATGTCATTCCTTATATGTTATACTATTTGCTGCATGAACTACAGTACTGTTTACTTACATGAGACAGGAAGCTTCCTGTAGACTGGGAAGATGGGACATTAGAATGACAACGAGCAGCAGCTGATGGCTGTAAAATGCGTGGTTTCACAGAAGAATTTGAAGTGTACCCAGGGCCCTGAAGTTCCTGAAAAACAATATATTTGAGAAAAAAGAAATGCCAACTACAAAGAATTGTGACATAAAAAGATATTTTCTTCAAACATAATTTCAGTCTTACGTGTTAAACATATACATAGTTATAAAATGAAGTATTAGTTATTATTATTATTTTTTAAAAAATATATCTGAGGCATTGAACACTAATAAAAAAAGAACAGATTTGAGAAAAACTGAACACTAATTACTGAAGACCAGTTGAGTTGTGGGATGACAGCAGGAAAGAAGGAACATACCAAAAAAAATATCAGAAAAGACTTTAGAGTTGACACTAGAACAACAACAACAACATAAAAGACAAAACCTGGGAAGGAATGTTAAAGTGAGAGCCAGAGACAAAAAAAAAATAAAAAATATTATAACGAAATGTGTAAAGAGCTGATGTTAGAAAATCAAAAGGGAAGAACATACTTGGCATTTCTCAAGGTGAGAGAACGGAAGAACAAATCTGAGCCTCAAGTTATAATACTGAAGGATTCTATGGGCAAAATGAGGAATGATGCAGGAAGCATCAAAAGAAGATGGAGGGAATACAGATCACTGTACCTAAAAGAACTGGCTAACACTGAACCATTTCGGGAAGTAATATATAATCAAGAACCAATGGTATAGAAGGAAGAAATCCAAGCTACACTGAAGGCATCAGCAAAAAATAAGGCCCATGGAATACCTATTGAAGTGTTGTGTTTGTTTTTTTTTTTTTATTTTTGTGTGCGTGTACCGTCAAATCAGATCTGGCTGGTACAGGAGGAGATTGCCCCTCCTTCCCCAGCAGAGCATCTGGTGGATTCGAACCGTGCACCTCTGGGATTGTAGTTGCAGCTTCTTGCCACTAGGCCACCAGAGCTCCCCTTGAAGTGTTTTAAAAAAAAAAACAAACAGATGCAGCCCTCGATGTGCTCACTAGCCTATGCTGAGAAATTTGGAAGACAGCTACCTGGCCAACTAACTGCAAGAGATCTGTATTCGTTCCTATTGGGGGTGAGGGGGTAGGTGATCTAACAGAGTGTAGAAATGTCATTAATGATACATTCATGTAAAACCTTACTGAACATTATTTAAAAATGGCCGGGAAGAGTACATCAAAAAAGAACTACCAGAAATTAAAGGTGAGGCCACAGAGGATATTAATTGCTGGTCACGTGGATCTTAATGGAAAGCACAAAAAACACAAGAAAAATTTGTGTTTTATGGACTATACAAAGGTATTTTTACTGAAGAATTTAATGAAATAACATATGAGCAAGAGCCTATGGTGATGAAGGAAGAAGTTCAAGCTGCTTTGAAGGAAATAGCAAAAAATAAGGCTCCAGGAATAGATGGTATACCAATTGAAGTATTTCACATAACAGATGTTGCCCTGGATGTGCTCACCAAGTTGTGCCAAGAAATCTGGAGAACAACCACTTGGCCAACTGACTGGAAGAGATCTATCTTTGTTCCCATTCCAAAGAAAGGTGACCCAACTGAGTGTGGAAACTACAGAATAGTGTCATTGATTTCACATGCAAGCAAGATTCTACTGAAGATTATCCAAAAACGACTGAAACAGCACATCAGCAGAGAACTGCCAGAAGTCCAGGTTGGGTTTAGAAGGGGTCGTGGTACTAGGGATATTGTTGCTGATGTTAGATGGATCTTGGCTGAAAGCAGAGAATACCAGAAGAATGTCTATCTGTGTTTCATTGATTATGCAAAGGCATTTGACTGTGTGGATCATAACAAACTGTGGCTAGAGCAGGGTAACACTGCATGGTTCAAAATTGGGAAGGGTGTATGCCAGGGATGCATCCTATCTCCATAACAGATTATCCGAGAGGCTGGGCTCTGTGAGGAGAATTGTGGCATCAGGATTGGTGGAAGATCTATTAACAATCTGCGTTATGCAGATGACACAACCCTGCTTGCTGAAACTGAGGAGGACCTCATGCACTTTCTTCGACGGGTCAAGGACTGCAGCCTTCAGTATGGACTGAGGCTCAATGTCAAGAAGACAAAGATTCTCACCACTGGACCAATTGGTAGCGTCAGGATGGATGACGAAGAGATTGAGATTGTTCACAGCTTCACTTTGCTCGGCTCCACAATCAACACTCTTGGCACCAGCAGTCAGGAAATCAAAAAGCGTATCGCGATGGGAAAGTCAGCTGTTAGGGATCTCTCTAAAGTACTCAGGAGCAACGGTGTCTCTCTGGAGACTAAGGTGTGCCTGATACAGGCCATGGTATTTGCAATCGCTTGTTATGCATCAGAGAGTTGGACAATGACTAGGGAGGACAGAAGGAGAGTGGATGCTTTTGAGCTGTGGTGCTGGAGAAGGGTACTGAATGTACCATGGACTGCCAGGAAAACAAACAGATTCATCTTGGAGAGGATTAAACCAAGCTACTCCTTGGAGGCAAGGATTCTGGGGCTTCGTCTGACATACTTTGGACATGTTGCCAGGAGGGACGGGTCCTTGGAGAGGGACATCATGCTTGGGAGGGTGGAGGGACAGCGCAGGAGGGGAAGATCCTCTATGAGATGGATTGATTCGGTGACTGGGGTAATTGGGATGGGTGTGTCAGAGGCGGTGCGGTTGGCGCAGGATAGAGCAGGGTTTAGGGCTGTTGTGCATAGGGTCGCTATGAGTCGCAAACGACTCGACGGCACATAAGAACAACAACAACATATAATGACAAATTATTATAGTAACACTGAGAAGAATGGGAATTTGAGAACACTAAACTGTATTCATGTGAAACGTAAGAAGCAATTTTTAGAAGTCAGTGATTACATTTTACTAGCACCCACAATCAACACTCACAGTAGTAGCAGTCAAGAAATCAGGAGATGTGTTGCACTGGGAAATTCTGCTGCCAATGACCTCTTTCTTAGAGCATGGATGCCAGTTTAAAGATGAGATATGACTGATTCAAGGCATATTTTCAATTGTTTCCTATGCAACTGAAAATTGGACAATGAATAAGGGAGACTGAAAAATTGATGTCTTTAAATTGCAGTGTGAGTGAAAAGTATTGACTATCCTATGTACTGCCAAACAAATAAATCTGTGTAGGAGGAAGCACAACCAAAATACTCCTTAGAGGTAAGGATTGTGAAACTTTGTCTCACATATTTTTAGAATGTTATCAGAGGGGGCCTTTAATTAGACAGACACAGTGATAACAACAATGGGCTTAGAGCATGGCCAAGACTGTGAGGATGGTTTTGATCTGTTGTTCATAGGGCCACTGGAGTTGTAATCAACTTGACAGCACCTAGCAACAACATTATGAAAGATAGTTCTAGACATCTAAGTTACTGTGAGCATTAAGTATATGTTTAGATAATACATTCACACTTCTGATTCCAGAGGGGCAAACATACCTAGGATGCTAACACACTGGTTTCCAATCTCTGACAAACTATATCTGGCATACTACTAAGGATTCTTTATAACTACAAAGTGCTCTTGCCTCTGAAAGTATCTGTTATGAAGTCTTTAAAGTACGTGTACACTGACAGTACACTTCTTAAAAGTAGATATATATTTTAGTGGAATGAGATGTAATATACCAATGAGTTGGTTCTAACTCAGTGACCCTATAAAGAACAGGACAAAACACTGCTTGATCTTGTACCACCCTCACAATTATTGAACTGTTTGAGCCTATTATAGTAACTATACTAATCCAGCTCATTGAAAGTCTTCTTTTTCTCTCATTTTCTACTTTACCATGGAAGATATTTTCTAGAGGCTGATGCCTGCTGATAACATGTCCCAAGTATGTAAAATGATGTCAAACATCCTGACTTCTAAGAAGAATTTGATGACAAATTCATTCTGGTAGCCCATGGCATAATAAAAATACTTTTCAAACGCCATAATTCAAAGGCTTCAATTCTTCTGTGGTCTGTCTTATTAGTCATTGTCCAGCTTTTATATGCACATGAGAATGAAAAAAAAAACAACAGGATTTGGCTCAAGTGCATCTTAACTTTCAAAGTAATACTTTTGCGTTTTAACACTTAAAATGGGTTGGTTTTTTTTTTTTCAGAAGATTTGCTCAAAGCAATATGTTGTTTATTTGTTGGATGTTTTCACAATTATCTGGGTACTAATCTTTCAATTTAATATATCTAACTTGATAAGATTTTATAACTGAAGATTTTGATTATTTGTCTTTTCTTCATTTTCACAAAAAGTAGTAAATTCAACATGTTTTTTAGATGAACAAAAATTTTAAAACATTCTTAGGAGTGGATTGAGGCGAAAAAAAGAGTCTACAGCATTTTTATGGTTCTTTCTACACACAGTTAATTTCATTTCCCCCCTAGTTTCAAAGTCATAGAATTCTGGAAAAACTTCTTATTCTGAATAGACTACAGTAGAGCCTAGAAGCCACTAGGATTACTACTGCCCTTGAAAATGGCAAGGAACAGGTTTGAGGCCTCGAACATAAATGAGCGAAGAGCAGATGAAGTGTGGGAGGATATCAAGGACATCACCCATGAATAATGCAAAAGGTAATTTACAAAGACAGAAAGGGAAGAAAATATCAAGATGGATGTCAAAAGAGACTCTGAATATTACACCAGAGCCCTGAAAAGCCAAAGCAAAGGTAAGAAATCAAGAAATTAATGAGCTGAACAGAAGATGTCAAACAGCAGCACAGGAAGACAAAGTAAAATATTATAAAATGTGCAAAGAGCTGGAGTCAGAAATCAAAAGGGCCAAACTTGCTCAGCATTTCTTAAGCTGAAGACACTAAAGAACAAATTCAAGCCTTGACCAAGTTGCAGAACTTAAGGATGCTTTGGACAGAATATTAAATGGTCCAGGAAGCATCAAAAGAAGATGGAAGGAGTATACAGAGCCACTGTACCAAAAGGAATTGGCTGACATGGAAGAATTTCATGAAACAAAGTATGAGCAAGAGCCTGTGCTGATGAAGGAAGAGGTTTAGTCTGCTCTGAAGGAACTGGCAAAAATCAAAGTCCTAGGAAGTGATAGCATACCAATTGCTATATTTCAACAAACAGATGCTGACCTGGAAGCACTCACCAAGTTATGACAAAAAATCTGGAGGACAACCACCTAGCCAACTGACTGGAAGAGATCTTTGTTCCTGTTCCAAAGAAAGGTGACCTGACAGATTACGGAAATTATCGAACAACATAATTAATATTATATACAAGTAAGATTCTGCTGACAATTCACTGGAACAGCACATCAACAGAGAACTGACAGATGTGGAGCCTGGGATTAGAATAGGCCATGGTACTAGGGATATTATAGCTAATGTTAGATGGACCTTGACAGAAAGCAGAGGGTACCAGACAAATGTCTGTGTTTCATTGACTATGCAAAGGCATTTGACTGTGTGGATCACAACAAATTGTTGTTAACTCTGAGAAGAATGGGAATCCCAGCACTTGATTGTGTTTATGCAAAACCTATACATGAACCAGGAGGCAGTCATTAGAACTGAGCAAGAAAATACTGCATGGTTCAAAATTGGAAAGAGTATATGCCAGGGATGTGCCCTATCTCCGTATCTTTTCAATCTATATGTGGAATAGATCATCAGGATTGGAAGAAGAATCAACAACCTGCATTATGCAGATGACACAACCCTGCTTGCTGAAACTGAGGAGGACCTGAAGTTCTTACTGCAAGAGGTCAAGGACTGCAGTCTTCAATATGGATTGAAGTTCAACATCAAGAAAATAAAGATTCTCACCACTGGGTGGATTGGCAGCATCATGACAGATGGTGAAGAGACTGAGATTGTTAACAGATTTAGTTTGCTTAGCTCCACAATCAACACTCTTGGTACCAGCAGCCAGAAAGTCAAAAGATGAATTACCATGGGAGGGTCTGCTGTCAGGGACCTGTCCAGAGTACTGAAGAGCAACAATGTCAGTCTGGAGACTAAGGTGCAGCTGATACAGGCCAGAGTGTTTGCAATTACTTGCTATGCACCAGAGATCTGGACAATGACTAGTGGTGATAGAAAAACTGATGCCTTTGAGCTATGGTGCTGGAGAAGAGTATTGAATGTACCACGGAGCAAACTGGGGGGTGGGGGGGTGGTAGTGGGGGGGAGGGCTGGGCAGCGAAAAAAGTCCAACAATGAATGAATGGAAATCCAAAATCTCTGTAAATGTTCATTAAAATTATTAAAATAAAATTAAAAAAAGACCTAGGAATAATTTCATAACACACACACACACAAAGAAAAAGAAAAATGGACACCCATGTCATTTAAGGCCTTAGAAACCCAAAGGAGGTCAGCTATGAATAGAAACTATCTTGCCAGAAACAAGAGCAACAGATGACTTTTCTGCCTTAAGATACCTAATGCTTATTTCACTTCCCCTCAAATTTGACATTTTGGTAAAATTATCCCAGGGTCGTCTTTTTCACCTGAGGACTGGAAGCTCACATAAGGTAAAGCATGTGCAGTAACAGGGCTGAGGGAAAGAAACTGCCTCATTTCCCATTTCTCTTGTTACATATCCTCCAAGAACATTAGTTCCCTTTAAGAGTCAGAAAAGCTAAAATATCACATATTTCTTTCTGCCACACAGATTATTTCACTTATGCTATTTTCTAACAGTCAAACACTCGGTTTATCTTGTTTAACTCCTCTGTGTGGAATACTCTTCTCTCAGATATCCTCAAGTTAGGTATTTTTATATTTCATTCCTTTATTGTAAACTACAGATACAGTATAGAGTTTCAACATGAAAAATTATAGGCACCAACAATTATGTAAACTTTATAATTGTTAGTATCAGATAGTATTGAAAGTATTGAAGGGACATAAAGAAAATGTGAACATATACTAAAGATAGGCATTATTTTTTTTATATTTATGATAAAATGGAAAAAAGCAAATTTACTTTTACATCCAAAGTGTGTTGAAGTTTCAGGCGCACAGATTCTTGCTCCTGGCGTTGTATTATATCTTGACATTCTGCAAACTGCAAAGATGCCTACAATCAAGCAGCCACATGTGGTTTATCACTAATTTCTTACCTACTTTTATTTTATTAACCTACAAATGCAGAGCTGCCACCTCCTGGAGGAAACTTCTTATATATTTGGCCCTTTGTATTGTAATGATCTTACTATTACGCCGTAAGTTGAGAGCCACTGGAGACTATGTTTATATTTTTTGTATTTTTAGCATCTACCATTTAGTATGAAGAGGCCACCCAAAAGAATGAGTGAAGTAGATATGAAATGACAAAATACATAATATAGAAATTTGTAAAAAAATGAGGGAAAGAACAGATTAGAGGTGATATATGATTGAGTACTATGGTTAGCACAGGAATCCAGAATTAAGGTTGCATAGAGAAATGTACTCGGGGTGGGGGGTGGGGGGAAGGGATGGGGAATTGTATACTAATGAAGGGATTTTTTTTTCTTTTCGGAGAGGGGAGCGAACTGGTGGGGAGGGGTGGGCAGGGAGAAAAGTGTGGCAATGAATGAATGGAAATCCAAAACCTCTGTAAATGTCTATTAAAATTAATAAAATTAAAAAAACATAAAAAAATAATCACAAGTGAAATTCATTAGGTGAGTCAGTACATGATGTTTAAAGCATGAATTGGCACAGGCAAGATTACAGACTGTTTTACTGAACTGAGGAGACTTGATAAATCTCAAGGAGTGATTCTAGTGAATATTTCTGAGTTCTTAAGTGAAAAGAATAGATATTTATCCTGCTATATAATAAATGGTGATGATGGTGTAGTGATAAAACAGCTGCTAAGCAAAAGTTTGTAAACACGTGTTGTTGAGTTGGAACCAATTCAAAGCTGACCCTCCAGCAGATTTTCAGAAGCCGTAAGTCATATGGGAGGTTGTTCATCCTTGAGAAAGCTGGTGGATTTGAACTGTGTGCTTTGGGTTTGCAATGCAGCTTCTGCTCTCTTAACCAAAAGGTAGGTGGTTCAAACTCATAAGCTGCTTAGTAAAAGAAAATTGTGTTTCTGTAAAGATTTATATTTGAGACCCTATATGGTTGCTATAGGGAACTCTTGTGGCTTAGTGATAAGGCACTGTGTTGCCAGAATAAAGGAGCATGGTTCCACCAAGCTGCTCCATGGCAGGATGGGCAATCTCCTCCTGTGCAATTTATTGCCTCTGAACATCTGCTGAAGGGTCAGCTATGAGTTGGTTCAACTTTCTGGCAATGAGTTTGGTTTTAATTTGGAGGTTTTCTGGTTTTGGTTTTTTCTCTACTTGTACATTCTACACCCCATAAACTCCCCACCATTAACAGAACATTATTTTATTAGTATAAGTAAATTATTTTTGTGTGGTAAATCAGGTATTCATGGAATATCAGGACCATCTAACATCTTTTATTTGGCTATTTTGGGGACTTTGTTTAGTGGGATGAACAGTAGCTCAAAAAATATATATGGAAACTTTAACTCTTAGTACTTGTGAATGGAAACTTATTTGGTAAAAAGTCTTTGCAGATACAATTAAGATCTGGAGACCAGGTAATCCTACATTAATGAATGAGTCCCAGATGTAATGATGCAAATATTTCTGTGACAGAAAGGAAGATAAGGTAGTGTGAATATGAAGATAGACATTGCAGTGACACATCTTCCCACCAACGAATGCTAAAGATTGCTGGCAGCCACCAGCACCTAGGAAACAGCCATGGAATGAATTCTCCCCTAGAGCCTCCATGAGAAAGCAATTCTGCCAACATTTTTATTTTAGATTCTTGAAAGAATAAATTTTAAGTCATCTGGTTTATAACTTGTTATGGAAGCCCTAGGAATTTGGTAAACCTTACAACGCTCAAAAAGAATTCTGCAAAAAGTATAAATTATGACTATGTGCTAAGGCTCAGAAGAACCTTCTCTGTAAGATGTATTCTTTGTGTTAAGTGATTATAATACAAAGTGAGAGATTCTTTATAGGCCTTAAATTCTGAATTATTCTATTTAGTTAATGAAGTCAGGTCATACCTACTTTACCTATTTAGTAACTAGCTACCTACCTTATCAAGAGCAACTTCCATATTAGCAACCTTTTCTTTCAAACGACGTTCTTGAGATCTCAGGACATCCAGTTCCCCAGCCATCTTGTTTTTTTCTGTTGAAACATTACTCAATTCCTGGCTGAGCTTATTCTTTTCTTCTTTTAGGAAATGCTTCTCCTTCAATTATAGAAGGGAAAAAATGTAATAAATAGTCTGCTGATGTAAATTCTGAGAGGTAGAGATAGTAAATTTTACTTAAAGAACTCTAAATAGTATAATCCATGTGCCATCCAATTGCTTTTGAGTTGGACTTGAGAGCTTCCAGAATAGTGCCACTATATTTTATCTAATTTTCATCACTATTAGTATAATACTTCTTTGTAGGCTTAATAATTATTTTATTAAATCCATAAAATATGGAATGTTTTGTGTAATAAGAGAGATAGCAGTATTGTGAACTGAGATAAAGTAATCATATACCACTACTCTAGTGGTTCACTAGTAAGGAGTTGCGCTGCCAAGCTAAAGGCACATGGTTTGAATTCACCAGCTGTTCTGAAGGAGAACGATAGGCAATCTTTTCCAGTGAAATTTATTTCCTCTGAAAATCCACTGGAGGTTGAATCATGAGTTAGAAAAACAGTAACAACAATCACACACTAGGGGCCCTTATGGTGAAGTAATTAGGAACTCAGCTATTAACTGAAAGGTTGCTAGTACGAATTCATCAGTATAAAAAAATATTTCAACAGTCTGCTTCTTTAAAGGTTTATAGCCTTGAAAAAGCTATAGAATAGTTCTATTCTGTCACCCAGGATCACTACAAGTTGGAAACTGTTTGAGCAATGCTAATCACATACTAAATTTTACTGAAACTTGTTTAAAATTATAGAAAAACGTAAAGATTATGTGCTTATTTAAAAACTTCTGTGAGTTTACAAGTAAGTCTATCTTTAAAAAAGTGCAGCTTGAGTACTCCTTGCTTAGAATGTAAAGACTGTAAGACTTCATTTCACTTACTTGAGGCATTTTTCAGGAGGGGCCAATTCTTGGAAAAATATATAATGCTTTGAAAAGTGGGGGGTCAGCAACAGAGATGAAAACCCTCAACGATCACTGATAAAGTTACTACAACAATGCACATAAACATGGGAGGTTGTGATGATGGTGCAGGGGCAAGCAAGGTTGTATAGAGTCACTATGAGTCAGAGGTGACTTGACTATAACTAACAAACTACAATTTTATTTCTAGGTCAAATATTCATTTCACAGATAACTACACTAGATCCTGTGATGTAAAAGAAATTAAGATACATAGTTCCTACCCTCAAGTTGGCTTAGTAATGAGAATGAGCTTACTTAGAGATATTGAGGGAGACATTTTGGTATTAAACAAAATTTAACTAAATAATTTCATTTCTAGCTTTCAATAAGGATTAGATAATAAAAATCAAACATGCAAAGATTTAAAAGAAGGAATAAGATCAAGAAAACTGTTTGCTGCACACCCATGTTTATTAGTGTTAGTCACAAGAGCAAAGAAATGAAAACAACCCAAGTACCCATAAACAAATGAATGGAGAGAAAAACCATGTATTCACACTATGGAATACTATGCAGCACTGAAAAAATATTGAACTCATAAAACATTATACAACAGGAGGGACCCTGAAAGACATTATGATGAGTGAAATGTCTCAGTCTCAAAAGGACAAATATTGCATAACACCACTGTTACAAAGCAGGATTGACATGGAGCATTGGGAGGAGAATAGGAAAAGAGTGGATAGGTAAGGAACACCATATTGGAACAGATGAGGGAGAGAATTGTTTAAAAGGAATATGTGACTAGGCATTATATGTAAGACAATGGTCCAGAATAAGAGGTGCAAAGAAATTTAGGGAAGGGAGAAAGGAGGAAATCATACAACAATGAATGAATATTTTTAAAAAAGAAAGTGAACTGGGGGAGGGAGATAGGAAGGGGAGGGAGGAAAATGTGCTACAAAGAATGAATGAAAATCCAACTTCTCTGTAAACTTTCATTA